AAGAAGCCAGTGACTTAACGTCCATGCACACCTCCTCGACCTGTACCCCCGGAAGACAGGGTGAGGTGTTTGAAGTAGGAACCTCCGCAGTTTGATTAGCACGCGATGGGGACATGTGGTGTTTTTTACCCTCTGCCTACAGAGCCTTAGACGAAACTGAGGGAATTGCAGCACCAGGTGGTGTTTCCAGCTTAAGCTTTTCCATCTTGGGCGATTTCTCACCTTCCGATTTGGGAGCGGAGGGTTTGCGCACTTTGCTTGTCCTATTACGCTTATTCTTTACTGACCCAGGAGCCCGTGACTGGCCTTCCATTTGGGGACGATCAACAATGTCGTCCGAGGCATGAGTCACTTGTCTCCATGTGAAATGGAGCGTCCGGTAGGATGAATGCCTCATCAACGGATGGACTGTCAACAGAAGGACTGTCCGTTATAGCGTCCACATTCGCAATATTCAGGGATTTCATAATCAAGTAAACTTTACTGTTGAGCGAGGCAAGAGAGACAACTACGGCTAACGCCTTCTAAACAAATATGAACCTGGGATGCCAATGCTTTGAATTCAGCACAGGTGAAAGCCGGGAGCTTCGCTTTCTGAGCGCAAAAATCAGCACATCTAGATAGGTTTTCACTGGATGATACCATATTGTACTGATTCACTCGGAGGACGGTACAAGTTTTGTGACACCTGCTGGTACAAACATCACACTGTATGCCACCAGTTGAATCCGTAACTGGCCTTGAACAGGCAGAATTGCAGCAAGTTCTAGTTCAAGTGGGACCAGAACAGTAGGAAAATTCCGCGAATGTTCTACCTTCGAAAACGTCGTTGATTCAACAGGGAAACCGGTGCAATTGATGTGCCAAAGCAGAACCAAATCAACACACACGAATCACATGGTCAACCAAACAATGCCCACGTGTCCTACATTAGCAATACCCGCTATGCCGGCCACGAGAAAAATAAAAGAAAACAGTAGTATCAGAAAAAAGGAAACAAAGGAGAATACAAGATTATCGAATTTCGTAGGTTAGGATGAATATTAAAAAAGCGTAGCAGACGAACATCATCATCATCAACAGCAGTACACCAGCCATTTGAACTGATGCTTCGCTGCCATACAACCATGAGGACCTATGAAATAAAGAATAAGGAGAGGAGGACTTACCTGAAAACCTTAATGCCTTAAGCAAACATTCAGGGTCAAGGTGCCTACACCTTGTGTAGACAACATACCGTCACAAACAGCTGGCTATCGTGCAAAGATAAGGCGGCATCGGCGAGACAGCTTCCTTGCAGCTTTCACTGCCACGCGTCATAATCAGCCATTACCCCGCAGATAACTCAGCACCAAACACACGTTCAATAGACAATCCGATTAGGAGACGGCAGCAGACGCGCCACTGGTGTCGGTTGCGAGCCATGTCCTGTAAAGTCTCGAGCCAAGCACAAGGTGAGTCACGTGGACTCCAACCCGGAAGGCGAGACGGACCAACGGTACCCAGTTTGGTTGTCAGTGACTTCATTTCCCTCTGCCAAGTCAACTTCTGTCCATCTCGAGTCTTGCGCCATCCTACACCTGGTAGACCCTCCTAGGTAAGCGGTGACCAGGCATGCGTAGCACGTGCCCAAGCCAACGCAACTTATTCAGTGCTATCTGTTGTTCTAGGGTGCTAGCATGATTATCATTACCTAGTACTCGCCTACGCGCATCATCGTTGCGGAAACGCTGGTGCCATCCGACACCAGCACTGCTTCGCAAACAACGATGATCAAAGACTTGAAGGCACCTCAGATCTTCAGACCGAAGGGGCCAAGTCTCGCTACCATACAGCAGAACGGCCCTCACTGTGGCCTTGTATACACGGCCTGAAAAATTTACTTGTCAGCGGCACAAACTCGTCTATACCGGCTTTACTACGTACGGACGGAACCCATGGGCATACCGACTATGATAATGCTTGGATACTTAGTGAACAGTGAATTGGTGTCTTTTCTCGTAAAGTCACCCTACCTCAGGTTGAGCTGGTCACAAAAGCCCCAGAGGATTCTTGCCTAACTGAAATAAGTATAACTGAGACACAAGTGTTCGGGCTACTGCAAGGGCTAACTCGTTCCAAAGCTTCTGGCCCTGATTCAATTCATCCGAAGCTGATGCATGAATTGCCCGCTTAGTTAAGTGGTCCTCTCAAATACATGTTTACAATATCGCTCGACAGCTGTGCCTTACCTTCGGAATAGAAGGCAATCATCTCTCCGATTTTTAACGGCGGTGACAGAGATCAGCCCGCGAACTACCAGCCTGTCAGCTTAACAACCATGATAATTAAGTTGTTTGAAAAATTGGTCAGGGATTCGGTGGAGAATCCCCCAATTAAGTTTACCCTACTTAGTGCATCACAGCGTGGATTCCGTAAGAGATTTTCATGTCTGAAAAATTTACTTTGGCTCGTGATAGCTGGGCTGACGCAGTAGACAACGGTCATGCTATCGACGTGTGTTTCGTTGACTTCTCGAAGGCCTTTGATATTGTCCCCACATCAACGACTCTCATTGAAGTTGAGATCGTATGGGGTATCTGGAGCCGCTCTTAAATGGGTCTCTGCTTTCCTAAAGGGGAGAGAACTGTGTACGCGTGGGGCGTAGCCTTTCGCTTAGACAAGCTGTTCTTAGCGGCGTTCCGCAGTGCTCGGTTGTAGGGCCGTTGCTTTTCGCATTTTATGTCAATGACCTACCCCAAGAGCTTAAAGTATCGTCACAATTGTTTGCTGATGACATCAAGATCTGGAATATCGTGGATATCCATGGTGGCTCTGAGGCAAATCAGAGTGCCCTGGATAGGCTCTGGGATTAGTCAATCTTGTGGTTGATGCCTATAAATCAGGCGAAATGTTCTGTACTCCGCATTGCAGGTCGTACTCCTCCCACGCGCTACGTTGTAAGTGCAAGTGAACTCCCTGTTGTGACTCAGCAGGTTGATCTAGGTATCACCTCATTGCTTCACTCTGGGGACAATTGCAGGAAGGCTGCTTGTAGAGGGTTCCGTATGATGTGGTTTATTTGCTGCTCCTTCGGTTCTCAGCTTTTGTGCTACCCCATTTAGCATACTGTATCCAGGCTTGTCCACCTTGTCTTGTAAGGGACAAAATGGAACTGGAGAGGGTTTTGCAAGTGGGTACCTGGTTAGTGCAAGGAGTACGGGGGCAAGCGTATCCCGAACGTTTGCTTAGCTTGGGTATGTACTCAATGCACTACCGCAGAATTAGAGGAGACTTGATCCTCACTTACCGTATCTTAAAGGGTAAGATCGGTCCAGACTTGTCCCGCCTATTTAGTTCCGCCAAGTTGCCTAGTCTCCGAGGTCACCCGTTGAAGTTGCATAAACTGCGTTCTGAGCGGGTAAGGACGGGAACTCGTTTGTCGTGCCGTTATTGCATGTTGAAACTCGATTCTGGAGCACGTCTTTAGGGGGTCAACGGTAGAGGGTTTCGAGTGTCTGTTAGATGCTCTTGGGTGGCAGTACCAAACCTTCCTTTTCTCCTAACCGACTTGTATCTTCAACTTTCTCGATTTTTATTTCTTCTCGCCTTGGTATTACCATTATTTATCTGACATTCTTTTTATTGTTTTCATAGCTTACTCTTCACTCTTTTACTTAACGTAAACCGGCCTGGCAGGAAAAGGTGGGCGGTGATTGGTTGGACAGGGTGTGATGCGGTCTCTGTTTTGGGCTTTCCAACATCTGAAGCAGACCTATCAATTACTGATCCGACGATACGCAAAAGAAGGGACATTCACGGGATTATCTTATTGTTGCTGTCCCAAGTGGAACTGGAAAGATAGGATGAATCGCGTAAGTGTTTCTTCTTGAGCAAGTCGTCAATAAAGGAGTTGATAAAGTGCTCCGACTTCTTGATAGGTATAAAATGAAAACAGGAATAAAACACCCGGTCCACCAATTTAATGCTCATCTTCCTTGCATTAGCTGTCCCTGCTATGGCAGTTACGTGATGTAAGCCAGGAAGAAAAATCGAAGGTAAAGAGTAAGGGAAATCAAATAAAAGAAGTGAATAATACCAATGGTAAGGGAAAATACCGAAAATAGAATCGAAGTATGAAGATGGGCATTAGTCAAGAAGAAGGAAAGATTCCGTGTTGCCACCCAGGAGCATCTAGTTGACGCTCAAACCCCTTAACCGTAGCTTCCTTGACACATTTTCTGGAAGTCAGTTCCAGCGCTCGATGACTCGACGTGATAACCGTGTCTCCGCTCTAACTCGATCGGACCGCGGTTTGTCCGGCTTCATACAATGCTCGCCAAGACCAGATAATCTAGCAGGACTAAATAGCCAAGGCAAATCAAGGCCAACCTCTCCAGTCAAAATACGATAGGTTAGGGTTAGGTCCCTCTAATCCTTCGATAGTGCATTGAACGCATCCGCAAAATATGTAGGCGTTTTGGGTACGTTTGTCCTCGTAACCCCACGACCAACCTAGTACCGACACGTAACACCAGTTCTAATGCGATTTTGTCCCGGAAAAGGCATGGTGGACAGGCCTGGACGCAATATACTTGGTGGGGTCGCGCAAACGCTGAGCAGAGCTTCACAAACAACTCAGCGGTTAGGGATCCGAATGAACGACGGACAAACCACACCATCCGGAACCCTGTATTAGTCGCCTTCTTCCAGTTGTCTACAGAATGTAGTGTTGAACAGTGGACGACACCTAGATCAACCTGATGAGCCAAGTGAGGAAGTTCATTCCCATGGAGCACATATCTTGTGGAGGAATCAGACGCTCCGATACGCAGGAGTGAACACTTTGGCCAGTTTATGGGAAGCAACCAACTGAAGTTGAATGTCCAGTACCACTTTAATAGATCCAAGATATCTTGGATCAGAGGATACTTGAAAATAGTCAAATTTGGCTTCAAGCCTTTATTCAAACAACGTGCCACATGGCACGCCAAAAAATCGAGTTACCGCGTAGCACTCACAGTAGATACGCTGCCCAATAGTCGCAGCCGGAGCGTCCTATCCGCCACTTGGAAATAATGTTTCTTCGGCAGTGTGATTCCAGTACACACGGTGGTGGGTTGTAGGTGGATTCTCCTGTCTTGGACATTTTACCATACACTGTCCCAATTCCTTCTTTTTTCACATACATATAGTAAACTTCTATAAACCACTTTCTATATTTTGTTTCCTCTTTAACAACTTACTGTTATATTTCACCTTTTCCACTTTTATTCAGCTTCGCAATTAAGTCCAAGTTCATGATCAAGTGTGTAGCGACCTGGAGATTCCCCCGTATGACTCTGTAAACTATCCTAAAATATATGCAAAATATAGCTTTCTTATGTATTAGAGGACCATTCGGTTTGCCTGTTGGAACGTTGTTCCTGTTTGTTGGAAACACGAAAACGATCTCCGCCTTTGGCGCGCGGCTCGACTGCGAACGACGCTCCGTCTACGCTCTCGACGCCAACGACATTCTCCCCAGCTAGCTCTCTCCGGTGAACTATTTTTAGCATTAGCTAACGCTCCTCCCGTCCAATAAACTTCTTTCTTAGTTTACTTTTGTGTCTTCTACCCACTACTTTTGGTTGGTCGTCTAGTCGCGTACCGGATATATAGCGCACGATCCACGCGCTATAATTGGTGACCACGAAAAAAACTATTTTGGTGAGTTCGGTACTAATATTACTTTTCAGATCCGGTAAATTATTCTGTCTACCCTTCTACTTTTACTTTTTAATACTTGCATTCACTTTCACACGCTTCGTAGTTTTTCACCATGAAGGTTTTTCAATCACCTGACGATCAGGTTATTGCGTTCCGTTTTCCTATCCCGCCTTTCCGTGATACCAACCCTAAGGCCTGGTTTAACCAGCTAGAGTCCATTTTTTCGTTACATGGCGTTAACTCTGACAGCGTCAAATTTCACTGCGTTGTTGCCGCGCTTCCCCCGCAAGTCGTGCTGGCCACTAGTGGCAAGGCAAACGGTGTGAATTCAAGATGGCGAAGCTATCCGATTGGCTGCATGGACGTGCTTAGAATTGCGTGGAGCTGGGTATTTTCTAGTCAGCTTAACCTGAAAATGTGTGTTTGAATGCACCAATATGACGATTAAAATTTGTGACCGTTGGCACAAAAATGAACGATGTCAACAAATGAGAAGGACGTTGAGTTACTATGTGGTAGGTAGAAATCACACAATATCATTGTTCCTTCTTTGGAAAAGGATGCAATAAGCTGGTATATCTCTGGCAGCTGTGAGTATCTTATTGACAGTCAAAATGATTGTTGCACTGGTGGGATCCATTTAGCATTGAGAAGGTTCTGATCGATATTCTAGAAAGCTCTGTAGTTGTATTATGATGCCTAAAAGGGTTATAGAAGTTATCAGGTTACAGTGAAATGTTAAGTAATGAAAGTAATACAGCAGCTGTCTAGACACCGTTAGATAAATCGGTTCACGACTAAGTGAAGAAGATTTCACGGGGCCTCTTCTGCTCTCTACTACTCAGTGAACTCAAGGCTTAGTTGCACTGACAGTTAGAAAATTAACCGTCGCCGTGAGCGGAATACATCTAGCTATCTGTAAATGTAAATGTAATTGAGGCTGTACACTTACGGGATTTATCCTATCGTTCCAGTCCCACTTGAACTCGAACTTGAGGTGGTTGCTAATGAAATAAATATACAATGTGGGAGAAGTAGGTTTTGTAAACAACTTTCATTAAATGATGCTAATGGTTGCAACACAGTACCACAGTACTAAGCACGGGCATCGAATGGATTGCTAGGATACAGATAGCCTCTACGATTTCAACCGTAATTAAAGCCGAGCCGTCCTGGTATGTAGCTTACATTTATTTCTAACCGCTTGGTAGCTTCCGTAGGTTTTGTTTGATGAAGCCGTCCGGTAAATTTGGCATCACTTAGAGCTCTTCGTGAGCAGGTATTTACCGGTACGATCTATCCAAGGAGGATGCGCCGGTGTGCTCCGTATATTAATGTGATCAGCGCACACGACTTCATGTAGAGTAACGTCACAGGGTAATAAATGGACACCTATTGCCTGCATCAGTAAGAATATATTCAATATGCCAAAACAACTAAACTGAGTAGAGGAAGTGCACACCGCAGTCCACAGGACCCCACTAGTTTTGCAAAGCAGACCTATGCCCACATTTTGAGTGTAATGGTAACGATGCAAGTCCACAGTCGCCTTAAGCATATGACGAAGGAATGAACATGTTGGCATGTTAGACGTTTATGGGTCACGGGCATCACTAGCCCAGTGGAGGGCATTTGGGATGAGGGGATGAGCCAGTTGCCAGGATGTAAACGGAAATTCGGAAGCTTGAGAGCAATAGGGCTTCACAGGGTACGTAGGTTTCTTAGCACTATAACCAAGAATGTAATTCTCGGAGCCTCAATACATATCATTACAGGCCTGTTGCACTGGTGATAAAATAGCCTAGATAGCTCTCTTAGCACTAGCAGCAATGGCGTGTAGCTTGAAGCCTCAACACATATCAGCACAGACCTAGTGCACGGGTGATATAATAGCCTACCTATGTCTTCGTCTACCCGTCCAGACAGGGTGCCTAAAGCTCATTGCAAGAGCACCAAAAATGCCAATCAGTAGGCATCAATAGCTAGCTCTTTAACAGCACTGGGACAATGCGGAAATGGTGACATGCAAATGATAACAGAATTGTCAAGAAACGTATTGGCACAGATAACATTTCCGGGAACGTTGTCGTTCAGACCGATTCAAAGTGCTCACGAAGTGTGCCGGACACGTCATATGCGTCACGTCAACACAGCGGATCACTAAGGAGTGGGGTAAAAGTAATGTACTTAAAGGAAACCATTGTGAAAAAGGAATGCATGGGCTTGGAGGCCCAGTTAAACAGCAATTGGGCCATTCCTGCGAGGATTACAGAGCCACCGTCCGATTCATTTACCGAATGTTCCAATCAATGCCGTCAACCAAGCAGTTGCGTCGGGTTGGCAAGAGGGAAGCACACGGAAACGAAACAGAAGGTGGCCTTAAAAAGGGCCAAGTTTGCGTTCTCACAGGCTGGCCCTTAAGCAGTTAGGCAAAGTCGTAAGTATCGGCTGCAGTGGTTTAATGACAATGGCACAGAACTTACTGTCGGGCAAGCAGATCATGAAAGTGCTTCTTAAAACGGTTGTCTTTCCAGCGAAGGGTTCATTTGCAGTGGAATCCAGATCTACACTGAGGAGGATGCAGGTAACAATATATTATGACATACTCAAACGCATGTTTGCGGACAGGCTGCAGCTCCGCCGAAGTGGTCGTCTCATTTTGCAAGCGCATAGGCATAGCGGGTGTGTTGTCCGTACTATGTGATACATATGCATAGCTGCAGCAGGGTACCGCGTCACAACCATCCGAAGTGTCTGAGCGGAGGTGAAAAGCTATTTAAAAGCGCTTGCAAAAGCACACATGCGTAAGTAAGCCTTTTTCAGAAATTGTTTCCACGAAACAAATCCTGTTCCACGCTCTGCAGGGCCTGCCGCAAATTGGCTAGCAATAATAACGTGACATTTTACCTACATGACACGGGCGAACGCAACCTGCGGCGTACATTAAGGACGTCGTCTCTTGTGACGTGTTTCCCGAATGCATTCTCGATGTACTGCTGTATGTCACACGTAGGGGTGTTGTATCGAAATAAGTCAGCAGCTTGATTGCATTCCTCCTCAGTAAGTCGCCGGTTTAGAGGGTGCCTTTCGAAAAGAAATCGGTTGCATGGATGGCTGTGTGAGAGTTGGAAAGTTAGCACCTTTAGCTTACGGCCATCCAGAGCAACATTGACATGAGCCCTGCAATCGGTGTCTCGGGAACTAAATAGGACGGTTAACATTATAAACCATATACTAGAATCTCCGTATTCCTTTGCTCCTTGTTTTCCGGCGCTTACAGCGCCGGCATTTATAAAAGATGCGACCATACCACACAGCAAACAAAATTGACGTTTTTTCGTTGCATAAATGACGTAAACAGGGAATAGAATTCATCAAAGCTTTGAAACGAATGTGCAACAAAGGTGCCCGCAGAGTCAGTCTCCATGGTTGCAATGCGAAATAACAGCCAAATACGACCTCTAACATTAGACCTCACTTAAAGTAGCGACTAAACTCATGTGCATAGATATTAACCGTTTTTTGGAAAATACCAGACATAGTCGTATTTTAAGCTTTAAAATTGATGCAACTTATTTTTTTATGGCCCACATTTCTTGCAGTTCTATGGTTGCCACTACGTGACACCGCAAGTCGTCGATGACTTCAGCGACATTTTGGAACTTCTGGAACCTCAGAAAAGTTACGATGAGCTTAAGGCCGTCATCTTAAAGCGATTTGGCATATCAGAACATGCTTGAGTCACACAGCTTCTTAAGGAAACCGCGCTAGGGGATCGAAAGCCTTCGCAGTTGCTGCACAAGATGCAAGCTCTAGCTAAGCCTCTCGCTGTTGGCGACTCTTTCCTTAAAGAGATGTGGCTTCGTTGCCTGCCACGTGACATGCGCAATCCGTTGTATGCAAACGATGCGCCTGTTCCTCAGCTCGTCGTTATTGCCGACCGTATTTGGGAATCCTACGCCCAAATATCTCAGGTTCAGTCTACCTCCAGTACAGAGGTAGCATAACTAAGAGCGCAAGTAGCCGCATTGACAAACCGACTAGAGAAGCTAACACAATCCGGATCCAACCGCCGAAATCGTTCGAGTAGTCACGGTCCTCCTAGATCACATTCGAAATCTCCCCCTAGGTCAAGCTATTGCTGGTACCACGAGCTATTTGATCATCAGGCCAGATCGTGTCGCCCGCCTTGTTCCTTCAAGCGCAACACGCAGGGAAACGGGTAGGCCAGCAAGTAGGGGCGACGGACGTTGCTGGCTGCCCCAGTCGCCTTTTCTTTGTCACTGATCACAGTACGGGAGTACACTATCTCGTTGACACCGTCGCAGAAGTCAGCGTTATCCCAGGTGATTCTAGTGATGTTATCGAAGAGGCGAATAGTTCACTGCGCGCAGCAAACGGCACCACCATTTGCGTGTTTGGTAAACGCTCACGCACGCTTAATTTAAAACTACGACGCTTATTTAAATGGATCTTTCTCCTCGCAGAGGTCCAGACGCCAATCCTTGGTCTTGTCTTCCTGCAGCACTTCGATTTGCTTGTTGACGCGAGGCAACGCCGTCTGATCGATCGTCAAACAAACCTGGCAGTTATAGGTACTTTGACCGACATAGAGTCAATCAGTCCTGTATACGCCAACCTGTCAAGCTCGCCCATCGGACAGATGCTTAGTACCAAGTCCACGCAAGTCTTTCTTGCAATGGCACTGTTTTCTTCCGCCACTGATGCTGCGAAACATCACATCGTTACGAAAGGTCCGCCTGTTTTTGCCAAAGCCAGACGAATGACCTCTGACAAGTTGAAAATTGATCGCGCAGAAATCGAGCACACGCTTGAACTATGCATCGTTCACCCGTCTGAAAGTCCCTGAGCGTCGCCGCTCCACATAGTGCCCAAAAAGTCAGGGGACTGGCGTCCATGTGGTGGTTACCGCGCGCTCAATAACGTTACTGTTCCCGACCGATATTCGATTCCTCACATTCAGGACATCACGGCAAGCCTGCGCGGCACTCGTGGGTTCCCAAAAATCGATCAGATTCGCGCGTATCACCAGATCCCAGTCGCTGAGGAAGACATCCCGAAGACTGCTGTAATCACGCCGTTCGGGCTGTTCGAATTTTTGCGTATGCCA